CCTGATGCCAAACACAATCCTAAAACTCATATTTCTGTTGGGATATAGGACTCTATCACTTGTCAGACATGTTCAACTATTCTGAGTTTCCTTACGATTTGTTTTCCATCTCAATTTCATCTCAACAAACTAATTTGAATGTCAATAAATATTTATAAATTCTACAAGTACTTTCATTCTTATGAGTCTTGTTGGTTTTATTGTAGTAGAGATAACTACATCATTTCATACATAATTGACAAAACAAAATAAAAATATCATTAGAAAAATAAAAAAAAACATGTACAGGCCTAAGCAAAATAATGTCAGGGTTATAAAGTGTTATCAAAACATGAGTAGGCCTACACCAGTACCAGAAACCTCTGTCAACAGTTTTTAACATTCCTAGAGTCCAGAGGAGGTTGAAATTGGGGATTTGTTGTTGCTGACAATTTTTGTTGTTGCTGACAATTTTTCAAAACATTTCAAATTAATTGAAAAAATGAATTAAAAGCAAAAAGTAACTTGTTTTTCAAACAATAAAAGTAGTTACCAACAGCAGGCCCTGTCTACTCTAAATTTCCTATGAATATACAACAAAATAAAAACCATGAAATTCAGAGAGCTCACAGCACTCATTGATACAATGTCATGATGGGACCCTCATACCCATTTAAGGTGTTACATCAAAAGGGTCATCTCAGGAGGCAGGTGTAGCATTTAATACATCTTATTGCAAACCCTCTTTCATGTGGAAACCATTTTGGCTGCTTCTGGGAAAACTGACCAAGAACCTTTTCAAGATCACAGGTCAGTTATGTTTGTAGAATGTAGTTTGAGCAGAACTCACCTTAACCTTTAAACTTTTTTATTTATATTTATTCCCATTTTGTGAGAAAGTCATTAGGGAAGTCAACTGTAATTAGGGAAGCCGATCTGTTATTATAAAAAGAGAATTGATATTATCAAAATGGCTGGAAATAAGATCAAGATGTAAAATATGGTATCTCTACAGAGAAATTCCAAGGAAAGGGACTGTAAACCATTTCCAAATGTTGGAAAACTTACTTTGGATAAGGTTACACAAAAATATGCAAGACATTATTCAGAAACAACTTTATTAAAAATTATGTGTAAAGATAGAACCGGTTTCTGATGGAAAGGACACCTGTAGTAATGGAGGGTTTCTCACCTTTTTATCCTATTTGGTACATTGTCAACACAAATACTTGACAGATCTTTAGTGGAGCTGCTAATTAGGAGATTTACATGAAAAATCAGGTGGCCAAGAATAGCCTAGGTCTTCCTAAGGACTTTAGTGTGGGAGGATTTTAGCTCGCTACACACACAAATATGGAGCTGGATAAGCATTATGTGATGTGGTACTTGAGGGCAGTGAAATCAAGAAATGAAACAGAGTGAAGAGTCCAGAAAATGGATATAACTTCCATGGAATTCAGACAAGTCGGTGCATTCTTTATTGTTATGGGACTGCAGAGATCTGGAGGGGCATGTGATGAAGGGCACGTGCTGCTCTTACAGATGACCAGATTCCGAGTCCAGCACCCATGTCAGACTGCTCACAACCACCTACAACTTCATTCAGCACCCTCTACTGACCTCACTGGGCATGACATAAAAGTGGATAAGACGTGAACCATATTGCATAGATTACTGTTTGAAAAGAAAGATGAACTGAAACTTGAAGACTGCACTCCCCCCCCCAAATGATATCTATACATCATGATGCCATGAAAGAGATTTAGTACAAAAAGCTACAATCCCAAAAGACACATTTGGTTTCGCTATTGTTAAGAGTGGCTATGTCCAGGCACAGTTTTTCCACTAAAGACTAGCCTGGGTGAAGTTATTTGTATCACAGGTTATTAATTTGAAAACAGTAAGAAGTATGTGAATAAAATAAAAGTCTAAATATTAGTAGAAGATATTCCTGGACTTTCACATACTGGAAAACATGTTGACGATTGAGCCAATGAGGAATTTTTCTACTGATTGGAAATAAAATTCCTTTAGAGTGTTACAGACTGAATTTACTAGAGATTCCCACACTGAAGATGCTGCTCCAACGTGGTATTAGAACTCTGTCTCTGAAGAGGTACTTCAGGTTAAATGAGGTTATAATGGAGAGGCACTAACCCACTCTGAGTGGCTCCTGGGAAGGCTATTTCCACACAAAGCAAAGAATGAGAGCAATAGCAACAGCCGTCTAAGAGGCACAGAAACAGATGTCCGGTTTTTTGTTTTGTTTTGTTTGTTTCTGGAACTATGAAAATAAACAAAACACCTGTTGTTTAAGCTAGAAGGTTTGTGGCATTTGTTGGGGCAATGCTAGCCAAGTACTGCAAACTGAAACTGTCCACCGCCTAGTTTGGTAAAGCCTGAAGCTATAGAGAAGGTTGTACACAGACTCTCTCTCTCTCTCTCTCTCTCTCTCTCTCTCTCTCTCTCTCTCTCCCTCTCTCTCTCTCTTACACATACACACACACATCTTGCATGTGTACAAGAGAATATTGCAATAAATACTCATTAAGCTTATTAGAAAGAGGCCAAAACATGCCGACATCATCAACATGATAAACACAGGCTTATTTCTATACAAGAAAATAGTACAATAGTGGCAGAATGTAGATATCCACCCCGCCTGCACCTGTAGCACTGACCACGCCCAAATGGTGGGGACATGAGCAGGGGAAGGCTATGTCTGGGGTCCCTGACTCCATCTCGCTCTCTCTCTTTGTTCCTGGTCAGGTCACTGAGAGCAGCCTGGGTGTGGATCCTTGAAGAGGGATCTCTCAGGCCATCAGGTTCTCGTGTAAGTGATTTCTCCTCAAAGTAATCATAATAACCTATATTATTAATCCTAATTCTGGGAATCTTAATCCGTGCATCCATAGTGGAAGAATAGATGTTCAAACCAAGTGTATGGATTTATTAAAAGTATAATATTGACTTAAAAAAAGTACAGATGATTATTTAAAAATACAGGGGAAATTCTACAAAACTGTAAAAGACCTCCCATGTAATAAAAATAATTTGTGGATGTTTATATGAAATTTGAGGAAAATCTTGTGTTGTTCATGCTAGTTCTTAACTTTGGAGAAGTTTATTTTGATCTACTGTTCCAAAAATTATATACATTCCAAGAATTAAATATTATACAAGCATGGTTTTAAAAAAAATCTATAGAAAGCAAGTGTTACATTTAGGCCTTAACACTGGAGAAATCTATCTCTGCTCCTAAAGAACATCCACATCCATCCCCTTAGAAACCTAAGCTTATAGACCTTTCTGCTACGGAAGTCACTCACAGGAGAATCTTAGTTTCACAATGAAGCATTCTACTTTTGAACATGCGTCATCCTTTCATAACGTGGCACTAGTCTCTTGGCTGCCCAGGAAGTTTAAAATCATACAACTTCTGTTACCAAGAGAATACAAGAAAGAATAGAGATGTGGGGGGTAAACTTGAGATTGTTGAAAAATGCAACACAGTTAATGACTGAGCTAGCAACTCAGACATACTATTGGTAAGCACATTTGAGTACCACCCAACAGGAAAGGAATAAAACTCCAGGGGAATGCATTGCACATATTCATGGAATGAGCTCTGCTACGCAATTTTTAGACTGTCTGCATTTTAGTTTTTTGGTGACTGCAATCTCTGAAACTTAAGTTTCTTTCATTGATTCGGCGGCCTTTCTTTACTCTCCCCTGGGAACACAGAAGATAACAACAACAGCCTACAGAACTATCACTGCTGTGGCATTATGGTGGCTCCACCCATCAAAAAGAAGGTAAAGCAGAATTTACCTTTAAGAGTAGCATTATAAAATGCTTAACAAACATGTTTCTTACAATAGTGTGGCTTAGAAGGCTATTGCAGGGATATTCTACTCACATTTCAATCATCTTGTAGTACTCTTAATGCAGGTGCTGTGTCTAAATGTAAGGTTGTTATGTGACATTATTACAAAATTAATCCGGAACCAGGACAAACTGTCAGCTACATCAGTTATGTCAAATGGAAGCTTTTATATCATGGCTAATTCTACAGTAGAGCTTGGCAAACATGGAATCTGGGCTTGTCATACAATTTGGCTCAGGATCATGCGGATTAATTCATTCATTCAGTGGATTTTACTGCTCGTATTCTGTGCTTCAGTTACAATGATAGGTTGGTCCTATAACTCCAGAACATAAGACTGCAACATAAGGCCAGACACCCATTTTGTGTGTGTGTGTTATTAACTTGTTTCACTCACTCACCAAACTTTCTGTCATTTAACATGTGTCTTTGTTGGGAACACTGACCTGAGGTCATGCGTGATGCTAAATGCTAAGTACTTAATTCCATGTGAGGAAAGTAGTCTTTGATTTTGATGTCACTGGCTTTTTGTCTCATAAATTATGCTCTCTGACCTAAATTTCCATCTCAAATTGTAACTTAAAAAGAAAATTGTGAGTGGGATTCTGACATACATAGCTTCATGAAAACAGTATTTTTCTTTAACATGCCTCATTCTCCTCCCTTCCAACTCCACTTAGCATCAAAACGAAGCCTAGATAGGTCCCGGGAAGAACCAAGTCGATTTCCTTATACAGTCTACTGGAACTATTCCTCACTTTATGTAGTTGGGCCTTTGATTTTGATAAACTAAAAGGTCACAGAGACAACATACAAAAATTATTTGTCTTAGGAGACAAGATGGAGTGGGTTAATTTACTATTCTGCATTTTCCACCCCCCCCCCCGAGATTAAGGCCCTGTGATTGCTAAGTGTGCATAGTAACGACGAGCTAAAAATGGAAAAAAAAAAAAAAAGTCATGCTGTTATTGTACTTGCTTCTCTCCAAGGAACTCTCTGGTAAACACTTCCACCTTCAAGGGCAGTAAGTGAAAGCAAACCCCTCTTAGTTAGACACTCATCCTTTTCAAAAAGCTTCTGAGAAAGCTGTATATATGAGATGGTAGAATCTGTGATTTTTCTTTATTGTTCCTACCTGATTTGAAACCTTCTTGTCCTTAATTCATTGACCTTTATTCCTTAAAGATAATCTTCAGATTTCTACCAGAAATTGCTTCTTGGGTTCATCGGGCTTTGATATTCAAGAAGCTGAAAAGAAGATGTTAAGTAAAATATTAATAATCTGTACTCATAGATTCCATTGTCTTACTTTTTTAAAGCAAATGTCCCCATCTTCTAACTTATAAGAAAGATAATAATTTACAAAGCTGAAGCAAATACACTATAGTAAGATCACAGTTTACAGTCTGAGACTTCAAGCCAAGCAAAGTGTTCCTAGAAGGAAGGATCAGTATCCTTTGTGAGTTAACAAACAAAATGAGGACAACGAGTTAAGTTTTCTAATTATTTTTAAATTTTATTTCTATTTACTTCCCTTCCCCACTGGATTTCTTCTCAGCAATCTTCATTTCTATTTTCAGAAAATAGCTTTACTACATTTAATTTAGCACTTCACAGACACCTTCAATGTCTTTTCAAGCTTTGTCACACACAAAAGTATGTGTGTGCATGTGTGTAGATTTTTGTAGTAGGACAGTAGAGTCAGAATAAATTCATCAACTATTAGGAATAAAAGACAATGGATATTAGGGTAAGTGGAAACAAGTAGAACATTAATGTCTTGCGGTCAACATTGCAAAAATAGTAATAGCAATTTCCTGATGACTAATGGAGCAGGCTCCTTAAATTATAGCCACACCTGTTAGACACCATCTGCCCATAAATTTCAAACCTCCATGAATAGAATACAAGTGATATTATTTCTGCTTTGTTCTACCCATAAGTCTTTCCCATAACAATTGTTTCTTTGTAAATGCATGTCGGTTTTGATTTGAAGTCAGCATGATTTACAAAGAAGGACACACTTTATACTATCCCTTTGTAATATGGCCATTTATGGTCCTATAAGAGGCACTGAACTGTTAGGTCTAAAAAGAGTTTGGGATTTCTCGGTGTGAGTGCATCGAGCAGCTGACTCTGAGATGAGACATCAAATGCAATTTGTGTATGAAGGAGGTCACCCAACTAATTTAAAGAGTAGAGACATTGGAAACAGGGCCTGAAGAAAGCAAATAGAGCCATGGTTCTGAATGAGTTATCCCCGCAAGTCTGAGACTCCACACAATAGGATTCAATGTTATCCCAATAAGTGGCTGAGAAAGCCGATAAGCGTATATCCCAAATCACCTCTGGTTTAAAACCACATTAGCTAACCTTCACCGTCAAGCTTTCTAGACTTCCTTCAAAGGGCAATAATGGGCAGCACTATGATACAATGAGAATGTATTTAATGAACAAACGCTATTTGTGGGTGTGGCATCAGCAGCATCACACAGGCACCCTCTCAAAGGTATGTATGGGGTAATAATGTAGGGCCTACTCTTCCTAACTTGGAACATCTTGCTTTGGAGGCGAATAAGAAACTATGCTCAGCTCCTTGTTGGACTGTATGAATTTTAAACAATTAAAATAATATCTGAGTTTAAAGATGTATTTATTTCCTGATTTAATGTGAAAATACTTCAAAACTGATCTTGCTCTGAGTGCCTGACAGAGCTCTGTAGTCCCCCCACTTTACCACAAGCTGCGCAGAGCACTTTGCCTGTAATTCAGGGGTTCCCTCTGCTTATATGAAACCTGTAATTGGCACAAATAACTCAATAAAAATTTTAATGGGCAAAATAATGGTACTTCCTCTTGAAATGTGGATAAGGGTAAGTGACTGCTTAATGTGGACCATTATCGTAGAAAGGGATAAGTGACAGAATATGTGTTTGAAAAGACAGGAATGGGAAGGACATCTGAAGGAGGAGAGGGCTTGACTGAGTGGGAGAGGTCAGGGAGATCAACGGCAATGCATTATATACATGCACGGTACGGTCAGAAAGCAAATGCAGTTAGTACAACTCTCATTTACTCCAACAATGGAGTGTACCAGCTGCACCCTCACTAAAACTGAAGGTCCCGATGTCAAGCTACGACGGTCTGCAGAGAAGCCAGCATTTGCAGGGACTGATTCCCCTAAGAGATAATGCTAACATCCTTCTGACATGAGAGTGTAGAGACAAAGACAATTAGCTCACCCCATTTCACAACTAAGCAATCTTAAACATTTCCCCCTCCCAGATCCCCTTTATTTTCCTGATAGTTACAGCATTCTTTTATAAAATAGACAATAATATAACTTCTAGCATAGCAAATGAAGATAAGGACAGCCTATAAATGGATTTTTTTTAAAAAAAAAATATGGACAACCTAACTTGTTTGAATCCTCTTTGTTATTAGCTACTTACTAATGCTCACATACTGGGTATGTATCACCTGTTAAAGTAAGTACCCGGAAAGTCAGGTGTTGGATCCTGTTGGGATGATTAATGTACAGCTTTCTGAAGCTGAGACATCATCAATTCCATCCTTCCTCTGGTTTATTACCCCACAGCATGGCTTCTTGTTAGCTGCGACAGTAACCGCCCTTACAGTTCCTCCGTCTTCTCCGTTCTCCCCTTGTTAGAGGGAGCTGTATCTGATGTGCCTGACTAAAGTACGTATCCTTAAGTCAAAGCACACCATCTCTTCATCGACGGGGGATGTCCTTCTGTATGCATGTTTCTCTTACTGATTGATAAATAAAACATTTGTTGTCCAGGAGTCAGGCAGGAAGATAGATGGGGCTAGGAGAGGAGGAGAATTCTGGGGAGAGGACAGAGAGGGGACGCCATGTGGCCGCCGAGGGAGTAACAGGTCTCTGGTAAGAAAGGACCATGTAGAAATACATAGATTAATAGTTACGGGTTAACACTAAAGAGAGAGCTAGCCAATAAGAAGCCTGAGCCATGGGCCAAACTTTGTAATTTACATAAGTCTCTGTGTGTTTCTTTGGGGCTAAACGGCTGTGGGACCAGGTGGGACAGAAACTCAGTATGTATTTCATGACATACTTTCTTTTCTCCATGATGAAGTTAAAGAATTTTCCTTTTTAGGGATTTCCACCGTTGTTCCCAAGTATGTTTCTGTAATGGGTGCCTGACTCTGTTGCTAGGCAACCGTATGGTCTTTTAGGGCATATTATTAATTAATAATTATTTTAACTAATCTAAATGTGGCCCCATTTAGACTGTCCTGAAACTTTTGTCTGAAGTCAGTACAGAGTTTTTCGTTTCAACTCAAGTTGTGCATGCACACAAATGCTTGAACGGTTTCAGAGCAGCAGAGAAAATACCAAGGGTGTATTGGAGAAGGCCCACATCATTTACCCTCCGGGTAGCCCTTTATTCGTGTATTTGTTTGTAGAAAATGGTCGAATCACTCATATGGAAAGTCTAGGACTTGAAGGAAGTATGAGGAAAACAGATATTTCTTACGGAACATTCTTTCTTACAGCCAAACTATTGAGGGAAATTTTCAATCCACATAACTTTAAAATAAGTTCACAGGAGTCATAAATATGAGCTCCCGGGTCACAAAACCAAACTACACTGAATCCTGTCTGCTTGCCCATCTCCTGCTTGTCCCTCCTCATCTCATGAGTGGCGAGTGTCCTTTAAATGTGTGTTTGACTGAATGGGACTATCACCTTCCCTGTCCTGGTATACACACATCATCTTAGCACTACAGGAGTCAGCGACTTCCCAGTAGAAATCTGAGAGAATGTAATCTTAGCCATTGAAAACATATCCAAAATCTCATATATCTTTTGGCGCAGAACAATAACAAGGAATTAGGTGGTATAAGAACTTCCCTCATTTCCTTTCAATGTCCATCCAACCGTAGTCACCTTAATAAACTGCCAAGACACAGATTCTCCCCATCTTGGCCTCACATTGACAAGGTGTAACAGCCCTTTATTCTCTTCCTTGCCCTATCCTTTAAAGGGATGTGCAGTTACGCCCTGATTGTGGATGGTCCTTTCTTTAGGGAATCACTTTAGTATTTAAAGTTATGATTGTTTTTCCCCCATTATCTAAAATTTCCATTGCAATGTAGGTTTTAGATAGCCATATTTACTGGATTTATTCAATAGCCTCATAAAGGGGAAACAGTGTTTTGCCCTGCGGATTCTCTAAAAGTCCGTTTTTCTGACTTAAAAAACATGTTTCTGTATTTTCTTCACTAGTCGGGGATTAAATTGTATATTCTAACATGCCTTTCAGCACACAGCATAAACTAACGTGAACCTTGTATTTCTGAGTGTGGTCTACCTTTAGTTTTCTAGGATTTGGGGGGGGTCATCTTCCAAGAATATACAGCCTCTGATCATACTCATCAGTGTAGTCAAGTCTGATTAGTCTCCCCTATGTAACGGTCTCATTAATCACCTGCCTTTTATTTTTGCCTTAGATAGACTAAATCTAGGTTTACTCAAGAAAAAGAAAGAAAAAAGCTGCTTTTATGAAAAGTTCCCTCTCGCATGGTGAGGTCTGTCTTTGTCAACCTTTGCAACTGCTCCTTTATTTAGTTTTGCCCCTTTATTTAGAAACAGGGGATCATATATCCTAGGTTGGCCTTCATTACAGACATGTGTCACTATGATCTGGTTTATGTACTAGGGATCCAAGTAGGATTTCTTTCATAATAGCTAAGCCCTCTACCAACTGAGATATACACACATACATACATACATACATAATACATACATACATATATATCAACTACTCTTTCATTGGCAACAAATGAACCCTCAAAGTCCACCATATTCTCTTTTAACGAGGATTATTTTGAAAACTGTATTCCTTTATTCTTCCTCATTGAGCCTGTCCTAGAGGTGGCTGTGAAGAAAGCATCAGTGCTACGGCTCTAGCCATTTGGCCTTTTCTCCTGCATTTCAGTCTTTCATAATTAAGAAACATGTGAGAGGAATACATCATGTTTGTCTTGTATATGTTACATAATGTGGTCCATTGTGGTTGATACCGCTACGAAGATTTTAGGGTTAAATCAAGCACCGGCCTTCATGGTGGCATAAGCAGAGGAGATGTTATATAATTGACACAATCATCCAAAAAATTAAGTTGTAAAATGATCGAAATTACTGAGCCAGTTCCTAAAATTAAACCAGCTCTAATAATTAAAAAACAAACAAACAAACAAAC